TCAGTGGTTGAGCATTGACCTGTGCACCAAGAGGTTGCTGGTTCGATTCCCGGTCAGGGCACATGCCCATTGTGGGCCCGATCCCCAGTAGGGGGCGTGCAGGAGGCAGCCAGTTGATGTTCTCTCTCATCGATGTTTCTCTCTCTCTCCCTCTCCCTTCCCCTCTCTCTAAAATCAATAAGAAAAATATATTAAAAAACTTTCCAAATGACTGTATTTACAGGGACTTTTTAACCATTCATGGTCTCTCAGGGAAGCTCTTTCAGACGGGGAAATTCTCGTTTCAAAGCGCCCATTCCCCACACTTCACATGAATTAGGAACCTTTGAAATGAAATCCGAATGCTAACCTCAGAAACACCTGATCCATCCAGTAAATCTTGATTGAAAGGGAAATGTCCCTGGTGCACGTGCTGAGGTCTCTGCTGTTTCTGATTCTTAGTGGCAGTGCAGGCCCATGAACCGAAGACTCTGGAAGGCAAGTCACAGCGAGGTCTGTGGCCATTCCTGGTTCTCCAAGTGTTTCCTCGTTTCATTTCTCTGAAACAAATAATGAAACAAGAAGAACAGACGTTCTCCTCCCTGAAGGGATGGAACATTCGCACCCGGGCACCCAGTTAATTGCCGAGGTCACCTCTGTGGCAAGAAAATAAATCAGCAAAGTTCTAAAATATACCCAAAGAATAGCTTGCCAACCCTCCTTATTTTCTGTATCATTGAAAGGAAGTACTAGTTAGTACGAGCAAATCCACTGAGATTTTTCTGGAAAAAGAGGTGTGTTCTCGAGAAACCCGTAATGGTTTGGGAAGCAGAAAACCAGCAACTAGCTCTAGGATATCAGGGGTATCAGCTACCGTCTCTGAGCCTCTGTTTTGATATCTGCTAAATTAAGGTGGTTAAACTAAAAGCCAGAGTTCTTTGATTCCATGGAAATGGTGCAGAAAGGGCATCTATGCCAAGAAAATGAGCACCAGGCTGAGATGATCAAATGTCCCATGTGCTAAGCACTGCACCAGGTGTCCGTGCGCTGAGCACCGCGCCAGGTGTCCGTGCGCTGAGCACCGCGCCAGGTGTCCGTGCGCTGAGCACTGCGCTAGGTGTTCCTGGTCTCAGTCCTCATGAGAGGCCGCAGTAAGACCCTCCGTTTACAGACAGGCCCCCTGGCAGCCCGCCCTGGGTCCGACAGCTGGACCCGCTGCTGGGTCCAAGTGCAGTCTCGCTGCTGGCCGCCTTCCCCCCAGGGGCTCTCCGGTCACGGCCACTCGGCTTTTCCTTCTGGTAGGGGAGAAAGGGGACAGCCCTAACACAGTGGAGGGCCTAAGAATGAAAGGAAACCTTTACAATTTCCCCCAGTCTACTCATGAGACAAAACGTCAGACACATTTCAGTAGAAGGGCATCCTGCGACACACCTGCCCGGTACTCGAAACTGGCAAGACCTCAGCAACGAGGGGGTCTGAGAAACTCACACCAAGACGAGCCGGAGGAGACATGGCAACTGATGTCACATGGTGTCCCCAATGGGGTCTTGGGACAGAAAGGGATTAGGTGAAAATGAAGGAAATCTGAGTAGATCATGGTCTTTGGTGCATAATGATGCATAACAGTAGACCTCACTAGTGTACCTCTCCAATGCAAGACGCTGACAATAGGGAACCCCGTGCAGAGGTGTGTGGGAATTCTCTGTACCGTCGGCTCAATGTTTCTGTGCATTGAAAACTGTTCTCCATATAAAATCTATTTAAAAATCTTGCCACCGCCCAAGCAAAAAGAGCATTTGTAATAGTAGGGTAAACAGTTTGCTTTTAAACAAATACTACCCTTCCTCCTCCCCTCCTCCCTTCCTCTTCCCCTCCTCCCCTCCTCCCCTTTCTTCTCCTCCCCTTTCTCCTCCCATCCTCCCCTCCCCCCTCCCCCCTGCTCCCATCCCCCCCATTATTTTCCTGAGATAATCTGGCAGTGTCAATGCCTCCAGGAACCTTTAGAATCGGGATATTGTGTGAGCAGTAGCTTTCCGTGAGCCTTGGGTTAGGCCAGGGGCCTATCTGCTGGTCAACCTGCTGGTTTAGTAACCGAAGCGTCGTTGGAGCACAGCCAGTACTGATCCACGTTGACTTGTCTGTGGCTGCCCTTGCACTGGAACGGCGAAATGAGTTCCACCAGAGACCCGGCGGCCAGCAGAGCCTAAAAATATCCCGTCTCTGGTTTAGGAGTTTTGAGTTACCGTGTAGCTGGTGCGGCAGGTGAGCGGGACCACCGGGTGCGCCTGGAGTGGACCAGGTAGCAGGAGAGCCTTCGGGTGGGGAGGCATGAGTCGAGGGGAGCAGTGGGCCTCAGGGGGCCACGCTTCCGGTTTTCAGGCACTTCCTTTTTTTGCTGCAGGGCTGTCTGTGTGTGAACCCACCCCCTCCGACTCCCACCTTTGGGGACTTCGTCTTGACCTACTTGACAGATTAATGTCAATGCCTTTACCATTGTAGAACGGGGCCGGTGGGCCCTTCCCGGCAGGGTTTGAGGATTGAGTTAATGCATTGAGAATTCACAGCCGAGCGCCCAGCACACAGTAGGTCCACGTGCTGTGGTTTCCAGACCAGGGAGCGCCAGCTGGTTCGTATGCCACACACGTGATGTGGGGGGGATGTCACCCAGCTGTGGTGTTCCGCACTCTCCCCCCTGTTGGCTGGTGGCACTGCTGCCCATGCCCGAAGGTTCCCTGTGTGAAGGCAGACCTGTGAGTCCGACGTCCCTGGTCTCGCCCCGCCTCCTCCCTTTCTCCGCCTCGGGCGCGGAGCTGTGCGTCCTCTGCTCTGAGTCGGGAAGGAGAAGCCAAGCCCTCCCACGGCCTTTTTTCTGGGGACCACGCTTGTGCTCTGCAGGGAGCACATTCTTCCGGTTCCTCTCTGCTGTTAGTCTTACAGACGGACCTTCCCCCACCCCCTGCTTCTCCTTCATCAGTTGGATGAGGGTCCGGGAGAAGAAGGGTGCTGTTTGGGGGCTCACCCCGGGGTCCCGGTGTTGCAGTACTCTCAGCGGTTCCCCTGGCAGCCATGCTCAGGGGACCCAGGTGACGACACCTGCCAAAGCCCACGATCTCTGGCTGATGCGGCACCCAGGAGCCGTGTGGTCAGTGGTCAGATAGCAGGGCCCTTCGGGACCGTCAGGCTCGAGGGTGAGTTCCTGCCGGCTCCGCAGGCTGCGTGACCTTGGCCAGTGACCAGAGCTTGTGGGACTTGGCTTTCTTCTCCATAAACTGAGGGTAACGATACCTATTTCGTGGTGTGGCTCGGAGGAGCTAAGTGAGATAACATGGGCAGAATTCCTAGCACTTCGAAAGTACTTAATAATGATGGTTCTTGACCATGACCGACATGACAGGCTTAGGAAAGAGATGAAAAGTGAGCCTGGTAAAACCTGTATGGTTTTGTGAACCAATGTCACCCAGTACATTCAATTAAGAACAAAGAAGCCTGGTTCTGCTGGAGGGGCCGGTATAGCCAGGCTTGTTTCATTGCATTGGTGGATAATTCTCTCTCTTTAGAAACAATTTTTTTTTCTTTATTGATTTGAGAGAGAGAGGAAGGCAGAGAGAGAGATAGAAACATCGATGAGAGAGAACATCAAATGACTGCCTCCTGCATGTCCCCCACTGGGCATCAGGCCCACAACCTGGGCATGTGCCCTGACCGGGAATCGAACCTGCGACCTCTTGGTGCAGGGTCAACGCTCAACCACTGAGCCACACCGGCTGGGCTCGCTCTCTTTTTTTTTAATCCTCATCCGAGGACATTTTTCTATTTATCTTCAGATAGAGTGGGAGGGGGAGAGAGACAGAGACTGACATCGATGGGAGAGAGGCATGTCGACTGGTTTCCTCCCGCACGACCCGACCAGGGCCGGGGACCGAACCACGACCCAAGTACGTGCCCTTGACCGGAACTGAACCCAAGACACTTTGATCCTCGGGCCGATGCTCTCACTGTTGAGCCAAACCGGCCAGGGCAGCTGATGGATCATTCTAACATTTGGTGTTTGGGGGCCTGGAGGCGACCTCTGATTCCTATTTCATGAGCGTGGACATGCGCCCTCGGTGTCCTCGGCATCGGCGTTGCTCCCAGATGCCACGGGGCGAGTGGGAAGGTGCGTTTCGCTTCGCCCGGCATCTTGTACCTCCCTCTCCCTCAGCGCTGCGGGTCCCGTCTTTCTTCACAAACCCCCCACCCGTGAAGCCCACCTGAGTGTGGAGGCTTTGGGCTCGGTGTGAGGAAGCTTGGGGGGAAAATCACACTTCGTGTTCAAGAAGAATGGCTTCGGAGAGAAGTCTGCACAGTGTGCAGCATGTGAGTCTGTATCCGGGAAGTGATGGCAAGTGGCAGGTGTAGTCAGGGGATCCTGACGTGAGTTTCCCGTGCGAGATTTGGGTGGATAACATCAGGTGACTTGTACCCAATAAGCCAGCTCGTCCTCAGGTCCCCTTGGAATTGACTGGGAACTGACAGCTTCCACAGTGCCGTCTGCAGCTTTGCCGTACGAGGTGTTTGTATCTGTGCTGCAAAGTGTTGGGATTCAGGGGTAGAATCAGATTCCAGAAACACCCCTCCGTGCTCAGGGAAGGGTTATGTCCCTCCCGATCAGTGTGCTTTGTTTTCTATCATCTCTGATGGTCTGGTATTGAAGGGAATTCCTGCTAAAGTGCCATAATCTCACGGCTATTACAGATGCTGTCGGTTTTGTTTTTCCTGACTTGAGAAAGGATAAGATCGGAGGCAACACCAGCACCGCTATTGCTGAGTGCGCGGTCGTCGGTATAATGTCTTTGGGGCCAATAACGCATTCCCACCGAAGAGAGACGCAGAAGATTATTCTTTTGGGTCTGCTTCTGAAGACCGTTGTCACATCATTTGTTATCTTTATTATTGGTACTTTATTGAAAGCTGTGGCTACCATGTGAACAGGCAGATTTTCCAGCACATGGCTTAACATACCGTCTGTGTTTTTCAACTAGGTGGCTGCACTCCGATCCCAGAGTCAGACCTAGAGGAGAGATCAGTCGAACAAGACTCCCTCGACCTGTTTACCAGCCACAAGCACCTCGTTGCAGAGACACCCACGCCTGGTAAGTGAAGGGGTGGCCTTCACAGATGCCACGTCAGGGACAGCGACGCTGGCCCGTCTGGTGAGGCCACAGGCCATTCGCAAAGCTGCTCGTTTCCCGCCTTCCTCCTCCTTCCCCTCGGCTTCCGTGCGGCTCAACGTGACCATCTGTGTATTCCTTCCAGCATTCAGACGTTTTCCTCTCTCTCGCTCTCTTTCTTCTAGAAGTGTCGCCTCTCCAAGGAGTCTCGGAGTAGTTCACGTAGAGTGGTCCTGTTGAGGGGAAGATGTCCTTCCCCAGCCTGATCCTGTGTGGCCCGCAAGCACACATGTAGGGCTGGCCCAGGTGCGTCATCTGGCTCACCTGTCCGGAGATGACACCGTGGGGTTGGGGACCGGGACTTTTTATTTTGCGAGGACTTAGAATACCATGGACAAGTCAGTGGAAACTTGTTGGACCAGGAACAGGTGTTCCTGCCCGTCGGTCACCTGCGTGCCTGCAGCCAGCACGACACAGTGAGGTGACATCTTTCTGGGACAGACTTTGTAATGCAGAGACCCAGCTCCAAAAGTCTTTGATACCTGTCATTTTCCACAGAATTCGTATCTAGTCCATGTATCAAGTTGAATAAAACATCTCATTGTCAAACAATATCTTGGATTCGTTTTATAATCAGAAGCTTGTATAGGTGATGTCTCTACATAATTTCTTCAAAGGAAAGACATCTGAGAGGAGTCAAAAACTCCGCTACTCCACGGTAAGACTCAGATGGGACAGCTTTGTAGGTAAAAGGAGCCTGAGAACTTGCGTGTGATTTACTCTCTGGGGCTGAAAGTAGGTGTGTGTTCTGATACTTTCGAGGAAGCGAGTACCTTCACATCCTCTTCGTCATCCCAACGGGTGATTCCTTTTAAACATCCAGGTTAGAAAGGGATTCACGCTTAATTACAATTAACATGTAAGCTTTCTATATGCAACAGGTCAAAGAGATTCTGCCAACTCCAAGTTAAAAGTACAGTTGCAAGACTGATTTATTTAGACAAAAGTATGTCTGTTCCGGATTTGGAAGGCCTCTCGGTCGGGATGAGGGGGAAGCGGATTATGGCTTTTCTTTTGTGAAATGTCAAAAACTGCAGAGGATGTATTGTTTATTATTTCTAGCCTTCTTTTTTTAAGATATGCAGCAGAAAAATGTAATATTTTAAATTGTCAAATGTGGGAGTGGACAACTTGTAGACTTTGGGCCAGAACCAGGCATGAGGTTCATATCACCCAGCCCGTGGGGAGCCATAGAAGGTGTTTTGTTTTGTTTTTCTCTTTACTGATTTTAGAGAGAGGGGAAGGGAGAGGGAGAGAGAGAGAGAAACATCGATGAGAGAGAACATCGATTGGCCGCCTCCTGCATGCCCCCACTGGGGATTGGGCCCACAACCCGGGCATGTGCCCTGACCAGGAATCAAACCTGCGACCTCTTGGTGCCTGGGGGTCAACACTCAACCACTGAGCCACACCGGCCGGGCATAGAAGGTGAGTTATGTTAGTATTAGCCAGCCCGTGGGGACCCGTAAAAGGCGTCACGGCTGTCTATATACCTGTAGTTGCAGAAACACAACACTTTCGATCATCTTTGTTTCATTGAAGAAAGGGTGCAAGAGAAGTAAATTGCTTCTTAAACATGTGTTTCTGTGACATGTCTTTATTTTGATGCTGGGTTCCCAGGATGTTTCTGTATTGTGCACACACATCTGTTCCCCTTTCCTTCTGTCTTTTTGAGTCGTGTCCTGTTTGTACGTGTTCTTCCGACTGCCTTTCACTCAGTTTCTCCTCCTCTTGTGTTTCCGTGGCCACCGCGCCGGCTGGTCTTTCTCTCCCTGCACCGCCACCCCCGTTCCTTCCCTCCACCTTCTGAGGCCTCTCCTTTGTTCCCGTGGTGTAAACCGGACACTGCCGTTGGATTTGTAAAGGGTACTTCAATGTGCACGCGGGCAGGGTTTCCTCCTCTATCGGATCCCTCCTCCACGGTTTCCCGCTCATCGCTGCGTCCGCTCGCTGTCTTCTGTGAGGGGTGACGGCCAGCGTCGCTCAGAAGCTTCCTCTGTCTGCGTGCGCAGTTTAAGGTGACTTCTGTTGCCGTGATTACCTGTTTACCGAGAGTTTTGACATTAAGAAGTATACTTATAAAATGTTCTCCTGGAAATCATTATTAGTATCTTAAGCCTACTAGCACAATTACTTGACCAAGTCATTTTACTTTTTATTTAAATCATTTTAATACAGAACTCTCTCTCTCTATATATATATATCATGCACATATTTAAAAATATATCTAATATATTACCATTTGCATTTTACTAGCTTCCCAAAGGAAAAAAGTTACTAACTCACCTTTTTAAGATTATCACATTTAAAATATAAGTTCTAAAATGATAAAATAATTTGATCCTTGACTTAAAAGTACCTTTTGAGAAAGGAATTCCCCAATTTAAGTTGCATATCTGTCTTTTAACCCTGATTTTAGCCTCATGATTTAAAAGCCCACATAAAATGTTTCCGCTAACAGAGAAATAATGGGGCCAAGAATTACTTTGGAGCAAAATAACACTGTGGAGTGGTGTTTTGACAATCAAGAGCCAAGTAACTGTTAATTGTTCTCATTATTTTGGCAGTAGTATTCCAGTCTTTAGTAACAATTGTTTGTTATCTCTGTTGTATGTGAGTGTGTGTGTGTGAGTGTGTGTGTGTGTGTGTACATAACAGGGTAACTCGGGTGCGAGAGGTAAGGTGACCCAGGTTTCTGATTAGCCAGATAGTCTCATTATTACCTACTATATCAGAACAGGTACTAATAAAATAGCAAACACCAGATTCTTACTGCCTGCTGGGTGCTTAGATGCTAGACTTCATTCACTCCTCATGACATCACTGGGCTGTAGGTTGTTAGTTGTATTTTACTAATGAGCGCTCTGAGGTTAGTAGAGGCTGAATAATGTATCCAGTACCCCACAGTTAGTGTGCAGCAGAACTGGGATTTCAGTCCAGAAATCCAGCTACACACCCAGAGCTACGACTGTCGGTAGGGCTACAATAAAATACTCTTCACAACCAAACGCTTTTAGCCCAAGGTGGCCACGTTTCTTCGATTTCTAATGTGACTGCACGTTTTAAAAATATACCTATTTGCCATTTCTATTTCTCCTTTGGTGAATTATCCATTCATGTTCTTCTTTTTGTTTTGGGGGGATTTGGTGGTCATTATCTCCTTATTGATTTATAATAGCATTTTGAAATGATATTAATCTTTGGTTGATAGTGTATGCCATGGACATTGTTCTCAAATTTTCACTTGTCATTTAATTTTGTGTCTGAGTTGTTTTAATAGACTATTTCAAAAGTTTTAAGTAGCCAAATCGATGAACTCTTTTCTTGGCTGTTTCTGTCTTTGGTGCATGGCCTGGTCTATTGAATGCCCTCTCCCACTTCTTCTCGGTGCCAGTCTGAGGTCGTGCCCAGGGAGTCGTGTTCTGTGCTGAATAAGCGTCAGTCACGTCCTCCGCGTGTCCTCCTGCTGCCAAACCCCCAGCGCTTTACGGGAAATGCCTCCTAAGTTTGACTCAGCTCCTTCACCCTGGAGACAATCACCAAGTAACAGACACTCCAGAACCCTTTCAAAATCCTGCTTCTCCGTTGCCTGGCCGCCTGTGGGCTCTCCTTGGGGATGACTGGCTTTCCCAGAAGGCCCCTTCGCACTCGTATCAATATCCTTGCCCACCCCCACACCAGCCCACCCAGACATGGCCAGGCATGTTCCCCTTGCCTGGGAACACCTTAGGCTCCGGTTGGGGTGCTGTGCCCACCCGAATCTATGACCAGGAGCAAGAGGCGAGTCAGCGGTGGAGTCTCTGTCCCAAGTCCCCAGTTCCCTGTGCCTTTTGGTTTCCTAGCCTCTCAAGGGCCTGGCTTACTCTTTCCACAGGTCAAGTATGGAGTCCCCTCAGCTTGAGGACCACCAGACTGTATTATGAATGGCTTCGCTATCATTTCATTAATGAGACCTGCCTCTGTGCTGTCGTGGTTGTTTAGAGAGAGGGAGATAGAAACATCGATGAGAGGGAACATCAGTTGTTCTCTGCGTGCCCCCCACTGGGGACCGGGCCCACAACCTGGGCAGGTGCCTTAACCGGAATCGAACCAGCAACTTCTTGGTGCATGGGTCGATGCTCAACCACTGAGCCACACCAGCTGGGCTTGTTGTTTTAAAAATACCTGTGTCTGGTTAGATGGTGTTCTGTGTCATAAAGTACACGATTCCTTATTACATACAAATGGAAAGATGAGTGAAAGAATCCAAATAGAATATATGTGATGAGTATGAAAGCCCTTTGAAAAGCATCACGTACAGACTGACAAACCTCGGAGGGAAAGGGAATGGGGGCAGGAAGAGATAAGCATATATGCACAACCAGTGGACACAGACTGCAGTGTGGGGCAAGCAGGAGGGAGGTGGGCGTGGGGAGGAGGGGGACATCTGTAATACTTTCCACAAGAAAGATTTTAGAAAGCATTATGTCAGCACAGCATCGCCGGTGGCCAGCTGCCTCAGCAGCACTGTCCGCCCTGCGTGCCAGCCGGTGGTCCACGGCCTCTTGTTCCGGGAGGAAGACGTGCCCACGGTAGTCCTGGGCTGGTGGGGTGGGCTGATGGGAGAGGGAGCCAGACTGCTGGTCCCCAGCCTTGCGTGGACATGAGGATGTACTGTTGTCTTCCGTCTGCTTGCAGAGCTGTCTTCAGAGCATCTTTGATGATGTGTATTGCTCTCGCAGTGAGCGAACAGGTCCCATCTTTGTGTGTGTCAGGACATCAGTGATGTGGACAGCAGGTAGTCATGGGCTCCTGTTTCTTGCCTCTGGGTCTCTTACCGTCCTGAGTGTTAGAGAATAATCTACTTGGACATCCTAGTAATTCTGAAAGATGCGTAGTATTATGTACTCTCAAAATAGCAGGATCAGTATAACTTATAGCGCTAATATGAGCATAAAATTGTATTGAAAATTATAGTTTTCTCTTTCTGTCCTTAACCCCCTCTGATGTGAAAGCGGTTGTGTCCACGAACCGCGGAAACAGCAGCAGCGTCTGACCGCGCCGGCAGGGCCATCTCGGCCGGATCGGGGCGGCTTCTCGGAGCCTGTCTGTGGGTGCCCTGTTGAAACAGCGGGTGGCGTTTTCGGTTTTAGCCCCCGAACTGGGGGAGTGATGCGGAGATCACCCGTGTGGAGGGTACTGTTGATTCGGACTTTTGAAGGTATAACTTACGATACCACCCGACTGTGGGGCCTGATGGGGTAAGATGCCTGTTAGGTCAGCATCGCTGGGCCTGCCCTCTGGCCCGGGGGGTGGGGGGGGGTCTCCTTCTGGTTGCTGAGGGCGGTGTGGGAGGGGCAAACCTCCTAATTCTCAGGTTTTCTGTAATTTCATTTTAACTATGTTCAACCCAATCAGGGTTCAGTCTGAGTAAATGGTCTCTTCGTCTGGACACCAAGAGCTGAGTTGGATGCCCTCTGGGATCAAGAGGGGACACTGTGGGTCATGCCTTTTAGTTTCATTTTCCGGCTCCTTACTGCGTTCTCCTCTTTTTTGTCTTTTTATTCTGCTCCAACTTTTTTTTTTTTATGAATTT